CATAAAAAGCTCCTTTCTGATAAAAAGACGCTTTTCCGTGTCCCAAATTTTTACTACTGATGTTTTCGGTGTGTTCAGTGACTTAAAACACAATTCTTATATATTTATAGGAATTAAATCTTATATTCTTTTAGAAATAAATTTTTTATATTTTTATTGGAATTAATTCTTATATTTTTATAGGAATAACTTTTACAAATTTTTATAGGAATGAGTTATTATATTTTTATTGGAATTAATTATTATATTTCTATAGGAAATCATTTTTTATATTTCAATAGGAATTAATTATTATATGAATTCATTCTTGAATTTTTATAAGAATTCATTCTTCTATTTTTATTCTTCCATTTAGATATTTTTTATAGGAATGAACTCTTACATTTTTTGTAAGAATTAATTACATTTTTTAATAGGAATTTGCTCTTATATTCTTGTAGGAAATAAAGGGCTCTACATTGTGCTAACCAGAAAAAACACAGCTCTGAGGAAATTAGATTCTATATTTCTCTATAAATGAATAATTGAAAATACCTGAAGCATCAAATAGAATCTGGGAAGACGCTAATCAGTCTTGTCTCTTTATACTTTTCCACCCAGGCTGGAAAAACCAGCCGTTTCCCTCTAAAGGCTGAATACAAAAAAATATATTAAAAATATATAAAAATATATAAAACATATATAGAATATATGTAAAAATGCATGAAATGAGTATATCCTGTCAACTTCAATGTTTGATTCTAAAAATGCTTAAATAATGACTCTTATTTCAAGTTGGTGATGGTCTGAAATCTGTAAAAATGTTTTAGAACTTAAAATTAATTCAGTTGATTTGAGATCAATTGTCTCAATATGAGTAAAATAAAAACACAATATGGGTATTTCCTGCTAATTTCAAGACGTTTTACCCCAAAAATGCTGAAATAATTACTTTCTAATCATATTTCAAGTTGGTGATGGTCTGAAATCTGTAAAAATGTCACTATTTTAGAACTTAAAATTAGCTTAGCCCTGTAATGCCAAATGTATCATATTTGATAGATACGGTTTCTGAAATGTTTTGCGTCTGACACCTTTGTCATAATTTAATGGTAAAAACTTTGCTCAAAATCCTATTGTACACAATCAGATACACCTGATAACAGGGGGCAGAAGACTACACAAAAAATAATGTTGACTTATCGCATAGTAATAAATTATTAATATAAAAATGTATTTTAGTTTTTTCTTTTTACATATTTTGTTTAAAGGCCAAATAAGGAATTCAAACCCCAAAAAAGTAATTTTCTGTTTTGTTTTATTGTTGGATCAGGCTTTAAAGGGTTGATTCAGTTGATTTGAGATAAATTGTCTCAATATGAGTAAAAAACAAACACAATATGAGTATTTCCTGCTAATTTCAAGACTTTTAACCCAAAAAACGCAGAAAATATGACTTTCTAATCATATTTCAAGTAACTATTTTAGGACTTAAAATGAGTTTATGTATTTTCAAGTCAGATTTGTGTCTCTGGCTGTGCCCTGATGTGTGTCTGTGTGTGCAGAGTGT